TTTAAAGCAGGCAGGGTTAACCTTAACTCAACACTGATTACTGTCAGACTTTCAGAATCCTTCATCATTTGAATTAAGATTATAATAATTTATTTTAAAGCACAGCTACAAAATCAGACTTTAGCACCTCTTTTTACTTTGAGATCATTCTGAGGTTAAATACAGATTTAAAATCATAACAAGAAATAGTTTAGTAGCTATGATACTGTTTTTGAAATAAAATCTTTGCATATAGCTGACAGGAAACACTATCTAACAATGCCTTGGAAAAAAACAGTCAATCTTAAAAAAAAAAAAAAGTATATGCATAAACCCAAATAGGAAATAAAACAGATATCAAATAAGCATGTGTCGTATTCTGTGTCCTAAACTCCTGAAACATTGGTGTCTCATATTTTAGAGCAGTCAATTCAATTTATGAAAGAAATCAGTTAAATCTGTATGTGGGTGTGTGTGTTAAAAATATTAAAAAGTAACCCCTTTTGTAATCTTTAACATTTTCTCAGTAACTGTAACTGATTACAATTACAATTATTTTGTAATTATGTAATTCTGTTACATGTAACTAGTTACTCCCCAACACTGAATGTCTATTAATATAGAATCTAAATACAACAAAAGTGTTTCCACGTAATAACATGTGTATTGCAAGCATTGTAGCTGCATGTCTGATCATGTCCAGATTCCTCAGCATCAGTGTGAAAGCGTTTGTTCCTGTTACTAAAGCATTAGTGATGAACATGTGCTCACTCGTCTTTGAAAGAGAAAGTACAACATGAAAATAAACATAAAATAAATAAGCAATTTAAGTACAACGATTTATTTATTTGTTTGTTTGTTTTCTGAAATCTTAAACAGGATTATTCTCTATTGGAGCAGTACAGATTTATTACAGTGAAAAAAAGATTAAAAATAATTCCAGTTCATATTTATTTACAGTTAATTCTATTAATAGTTTTATAACATAATATGCAGAGAAATGCTGTTTTTAATGGCTGTGTATAGTATCATACAGTAACAGAAAAAGTAGTGATTATATGTGAGATTACTGTAAACTCTATCCAGTTCATTCAGAATAACATGTACAGATGTAAGTTGATGAAATATGGGTGAAAAGATAAGATGATTCATATAAATGCTTATAAAATACAGATAAATATAGAATCTGTGAAATATTACAATATACAGGAATATAAAAATAAGCATATCTTATGTATATTTCGATGTATGATGCGGTGCAATGTATATGTACAAAGATACAAATACAAAGATGTGGATCTTATGTACATGAGACATATGAGGTAGCGCAAAATGAAACACAGTCTCTTTGTGATACAAATGCAGAGGTGGATCATGGTGTAAAAATGGTGAGAGTAAAGTGCAGCATCAAAGCAATAAAACAGTTATCAGTTTTCTGGGAAAGAAACGATTCATATTTCTGTTAGTTTGAGATCGAG